GCTATTTTCATGGGCTGGGAGGTCCAGCGGAGTGGAGTGGTGCGCAGACACAGTTAGGACCTTGTGGCTCCCGTGGGGGCTGCGAAGTGCACAACGGTCGCCACTTTCGTAGGCTCCCAGGAGGTCGCGCGGAGTGGAGTGGTGTGCAGACCCAGTTGGGTCCTCGCGGCTCCTTGGGGGGCTGCGAAATGCGCAACCGTGGCCATGTTCGTGGGCCCCATGGGAGGTCGCGACGAGAAATCCAACTGACGACAAGTAGTCGCATCCAACGTGGCAGGGGTTCCCATAGCGCGCGGCGCCGTCCCGTCACGCAGCGCTCGGCGCTCTCGCGTCGCAGCTCGCAGGGAGCCGCTGCGCCACGCAGCGCATGATGTTTCTGTTTGTCCGCGTGGCCTCCCATCCTCGGCTCCCTCTGGGCCGCCATGCCACCCGGCGCGCTTGCCTCGTTCAGCGCGGCACGCTGTTCTGCTACAGAACGAATGCATGGCGCTGTTCTTACCCACGTATTTGGGGTTCGGCGCCGGTGCCGTTACTGAACACGTATCTCCCTCCGTTACATCCTTCTGTATGCTCCTGTATCCGTCTCTAGTTTGCCTATTCTTGTATGCTTTCTTGCGTACTTCTGGGAGCTCATGCGCACTCCGGGTCCTTCAACATATGCTTGTTTGCACTGGGTGGTCCTACATATACACACATATAGATATACAAGACTGCATTAGCGCTTCGTGCCATGCACCTTGTTCCTTGTGAGTTCGAATGCAGGCGGCGTGCGCGCGCGTGGACGTGGGGCCGGCCACCGCCAAGTCGGAGTGGGTCAGGATCTCTTAGACGGGAGCGACTTCACAACGCCAGCTCTGGCCAGATCAGGGCGTTTCTGTGCCCAGAGGCGCGAATAAGTCTCAGGCGACTGGTTGGGGTAGCATGAAGCAGGGCATCCTCCTCTTGCTCTTCCTCCGCATTTTCCTCCCCCCTCTTTCTCCTCTTCATCTTCATCCTCTTTCTGCTCGTCCCTCCTTGTCCTCATGCCGCTTCCAAGGCTGGCGCAACTGGGCCGAGAGAGTGGGGCCCAAGGACGGACAAATTTTAGAAAATCATTAGAAAAGAAAGACTGCTGTTTTTTTCGACTTGTCGCTGACAGCTCCAAGACGTCTCGAGATGAGTCTCCAGGCAAGCCCCAAAGAGGCCCAAGGCTGGCGCAACAGGGCCCGGAGATGGCGCAACTCGGCCCGGGGAGTGGGGCCCAGGAACGGACAAATGTCGGAAAATCATTGGAAAAAGACAAGGTTTTTGGTTTTCTCGCCTTGTCGCTTCCGATTGGTTCTTGAGGCGTCGAGACAGCTCCAAGACGTCTCCAACTGAGTCCCCTGACGAGCCCCCAAGAGGTTCAAGGCTGGCGCAACGGGGCCCAGAGATTGGGAAAAGCAAAGAAAACGCTGTAGAAAATTGTGTTTTCGGCTTTTTCGCTTTTTCACTTCCGGTTGATTCGGGGGGCGTCCAGACGACCCCAGGACGGCCACAGGGAGGCGCAAGACAGGCCCGAGGATTCGAAAGTCTTTTGGGGGAGGGCGGGGGGGGGGCGCTCCCCGGCCCTATAGGGCCCGGAGAGGGGGGCCCAGAGATGGACAAATGTGGGAAAACCATGGGAAAAGCAAGGTTTTTGGTCTTCTCGTTTTGTCGCTTCCGATTGGCTCTTGAGGCGTACAGATGCCTCCAAGACGATTCCAGATGAGGCCCCAGACGAGCCCCGAAGAGGCCCAAGGCTGGCGCAGCAGGGCCCGAAGAGTGGGAAAAACAAAGACAACGCTGTAAAAAAACAATGTTTTCGGCTTTCTCGCTTGTACACTTCCGCTTGACTCCAGGGGCGTCAAGACGACCCCAGGATGACCGCAGCAAGGCGCAAGACAGGCCCGAGGAGGCGAAATTCGTTTGGTGGGGGGGGGGCGCTGGGATGTGGGCTCCCCCGCTTTTTAAACATGTATAAGCAGGAATAGGGCCAGGGACGCCGGAACAAAAAATCAATAAAAAATAATTGCCCTTCCCGGGCTTCCTGGCAACCCTTCAAACGACCCAGGAGAACCTCACGAGAGCCCGACGACGGCTCCAGACGGGTTCCAGTCGTTCCGGCGCGCTCCTGAAACGACTCCAAAGAGCCCCAATACGGTCCACGACGACCCCCAAGAAGCCGTCATACCCCCAAAGATCGCTCCAACGTCCCAAGAGGCTTCCAAGAGCACTCCCAAGAATGCCCCAGGAGGCAATGATCATTGATTTGTTGCGGGTTTCTGGTGAATTTACGGGTTCTCTTTTTTTGGCTTCCCGACGCTCCAAGACGGCGGTTCTTTGGGCGTCCGAAGCCGCCTGGGAGGCCCCCGAATGGTCCCACAACCATCCGAAAGAGCTTCCAGGCAGTCCAAGAGAGCCCCAAAACGGCACAACAGGGGTCCAATATGGCCGTAAGAGAGCCCCATGGCGGCCCAAGATGGCCCCAAAACATTTTCCGAATCATTCCAAATCGTGACCCGGTCGTTCAGGGAGACCGCGGTTGGAGGCAGGGTGGCCCGAGGAAACCCCCAGAGGCCCCCATTATTATTACACGCCCAGGAGGCCTCCAGAAGGCTTAAAGAAAGTTTGAAAAACTGCTGTGAGGCCCCCAGAGGCCCTCCAAGGAGGAGCCTCCACAAAAAGAGCTGAGGAGGATGGGCGGCGAGAATGAGGAAAAGTAAGCATGGAGGAAGGATAACGAATAACGGCGATGCCGGAAAATTCAACAATGAGTTATCGCTAAGTTGTCGGCGCCTGCATGCCGAATTTCAAGGACCAAGATGCATGGCGCGAAGCGCCACTGCAGTCTTGTGTATACCCAAATATGTACACACATATGTTCTCGCCATAATTTGAAGGTTGGGTACGTCACCGGGTAAATGTTCGAGCTTGTTCTCCAAGAGCGGCGGCGGCGACGGCGCCGACGACTGCGGCCCCGCTGTAGGAGGCGGCCAAAGAGCGGCTGGGGCCGCACTTCCTTCGATTCGACCTGGACGAGCCGCCGCAGCCAGGCTCCAAGCGGCTTGGGGGTCGCGGGGGCTTATCCTGAGAGGGACCGCCTCAGGGCACGAAGACCTTTCGCGTGCACCCACGGGTCCATCCAGAAGCGCCGCCCAGGCGGGCTGGCAGAAGATGTCACTTCAGCGTTCTTGCGTGCTCTCGCTGTACACGGCGGGTAGCACCACAGCGTCAGGCAAGCCCAGTGACTTCGGCATCATGCGGAGTTACCCGTTTACTTTCTCACTGTGCCAGCTAATGTTCCTGACTGGCGCGTCCGAGCTGGGTTTAAAACGATTTGTGGGCAAGGGGAATGTAGAAACATGCAGACAAGTAGAGAGGCCAGCAATGGTGAGTTCGGACACATTGGGGAGTAGAAGTTTCTTGGAGCCACCTTGGAGCTCTCTTGGGGTTCTTTTCGGAGCATGAGGCCCTCATGGAGCTCTTCTTGGGGCCTTCTCGAGGGTCTTAGGGGCTCTGTTGGAACCATCTTGGAAGCCACCAATCCAAACATGTGAGGTTTAAATTAAGCCACCGCCCAGGTCGGAGATATAAAGGTCGCCTTGGAGCTATATTAGGACCCTCTTGGGGGGCTCTTGGGCGCTCTTGGGGCCATCTTGGAGCCCTTCTGAGCCCGGTTTGGGGTCTCTGGGGCGATAATGGAGCCGTCCTGAGGCCTCAGAAGCCCATCGGAAGCGAGCAAGAACTCAGACATCCGTGAAAGACGATCGGTGTTTCAACGATTTCTGCCTCTCGGGGGTATCCTTCTTGGGCCATGCTAGGCTATTTGCGGCCCTCTGGAGCCTACTTGGGCGCCCTGGCCGCTGTGCAACCCTAGCCCCGACCCCATGGGGAGGGTCTTCTCTTGGCAGGAGTTGTGAACCCATCCAGTCCCCGAGCGGCCACGATATCAAAGTGTCACATATTCCAAGACGGCCCGTTGCGCCCCCAAGACGGCCCAAGACGACCTATCAAGGCAAGACGATACGAAACTCTACGTAAGGCACACCAGAACAGCTTACATATCGGCCCGAGATGGCCTCAAGACGCCCAAAGAGTACCCTCGAGAGGCCAACATGATTCAAAACCGCCAGAAAAAACAATGATACTTACCTTATCTTACCTTCTCGCCTTGTCGCTCCCGAAGGGCTCTTCAAGTCTCAAGGTGGCCTCACGACCGCCCCAGGAGAGCCTCAAAACGGACCCAGGAGGAGCATGCGACGACCCCCAAGAGGGCCTCAAGAGAGGCCGAAGAGGGCCCCCCGTCCCTCCAAATCCAGAAAAAAGCTAACAACGGCCAGCGTCTTCGGCGCCACAACGGCCCCAAGACTTGGCATCGCTCGGACGTGTGCAGTTTTTCTCGGACAGAGACATCGGGGAGCATTTTATGTTCACCTCACGAAACATACACGCACGAGACCGAAAAATGCACGGGAACGGGCGTCCGAGCGATGGCAAGAACAGGCCCGCAGAGGCTTTCAAGTGGCCACCAGGATCACCCCAAAAGGCCTTGCCGATGCACCCGAGAGGCTCCCCAGAGGCTTCGCTGGGCGGGCGGGGGGGACGCGTTCGGGCGTGGGGTCACGGGGAGGGGTAAGCCTTCCTGCCAGGAGAGGCACAGAGGTGTTGGGTGCGGGCAAGACATGTATCCAGATCCACGGCATCTTGGAGCTTCGGGCCACCTTCCCCGGACACCCGAGGCGCAGTGGATATTGGAAAAAAGCAGGCCCTTATAGAGGCTATGTGTTTATCCACATCCACTGCGCCTCGGCCTGTTGGCGCCCTTTCCAGGAAGTCCAAGACGCAGCGGATATGGATATAAATCTTGCCCGCATTGGGATAACTGAATCGCCAAACCATCTGCCTCAGAGGGCCGGTGGGATTCCTCGAGGATGCTGTCCCGATGCGAGGCTGCCTCCGAGGGCTCTGGAAGAGAATCGGGGGTCGACCTGAACGGTGTTCTGGCGATTCCGGGGGCCGTTTTCGTTTCGATCTCGTGCTGCAGCAGTGGAGGGTTGAAGACAGCACGAGGGACAACGGAGCCAAAACGCTGATGAAGAACACCGCTGAGGTCGATGCCTGCCGCGCCAGCCGCGCCGGCCGCGAGGGGCGCCAGCCGCGAGGAGCGCGGCGCGAGCGCCCAGATGCCCAGGCCACCCGCAGGGGCGCGAAGATTTCGGGCGTTTTAACAAAAAAACTGAAAAAACGAATAACGAAAAAACGAATAACGAAAAAACTAAAAGACAAAAGAAACAAAACAACCGAAAAACTGAAAAAAAACACACTACATAAAACAATAACTAAGAAGCAACAGAAAACGAAAAAACGCCCAGGCACAGCGACGAGAAGCCGGCGCAAGAGCGCCCCCCGCGCCCCCGTTTTCAGTGTTCGTCTCATCGAAGAGGACAAGACGGCAGAAGCATAAGCTCTTGGGCGTTCCGCGCGGATTTCTTGGATCCGCGCTGGACAGCCCCGGGGGCGGCTCCGCGCGCCAGGGAAGGGTGGTCGAGCGCAGATCCAAGAAATCCGCGCGGAGCGCCAAACGTTGATGTTTCTGCCGTCGTTTCTTCTTCCAAGGCCGCGGTTTGCAAGTGTGGGCGTTGGCGTTGTTTTCGAGACGACTCGCACTCCCCCGCTTCAACACGCATTGAAGATGTTTTCCTTTTCTTGTATCGAAAGTCATAGTATCGCGCCTCGCGCGTCGCGGTCTGCACTGGAGAGGTGCCCTTTTCGAGGAGGGGCGACGCGGTGGCACGAGGGCGCGGGGATGGTCGCTCGTCGCGCATCGCGGGGCGCGACGCGCGAAGTTACAATAGCGCAACACCCGACACCGCCATCCATCGGCACAGTCACCGGCGCAATCTTTTATCGCAACCGCCACGACGGGCGCCGCGCTGCCTCAAGAGAGTTCGTTTCCAAAGCTGGCTCTCGCAAGAGGTTTGGAAACTCAGCGAAGCTGAGTCTCGATTTCTGAATCGAAGATTTCGTCATCGAAGTTTGAGTTCAGGTGACTTGTGATACAGTCAACAACCCGCATAGGAAGGATGAGCGTCTTTCCAAGCTTACCCTTGCATGCTTCCCCTTCGGCCCGTCCTCGGCCGCTTTCGCTGGCCGCGCCCCGCTCGCAAAGTGTCAGCGTGGCCTTCCAAGACCCTTGGCATCCTTCCCGCGCGTCCTCGTTATGCGGGTCGACTGTACAGTCAGCATCTGCTTCGGGATGGAGCGACATTGGCGCGACAGGGGCGCGCAAGCTCCCCGCGTAAAGTCGCGCGTGGGCGCCCTCGTCTCCGATGTGGTGTGCCGCGCTGGCGGCCCGCGTTCAGCCGCGGCGTCAGGTCGCTACGCCATCTCGCTGAGACCCGTTTCTTTTCGTCGCTCACTCGGCGGCGTCGACGAGGCCTCGTGGCAGGGCGCGCAGGCGTGCGCCGGCATCGGCGAGCTCGTCGGCGTGGCGGCTGCAGGCCCCTGCAAGTGGCGCGATGCGCCCCTCGCTGATGCCCGGCTCGCCCAGGCTGCGTTCTGCCTTCCCTTCGTCGCTCGCCTGCGATCGCCTCTGCGAGGCGATCGCAGAGGCGACGTGGCAGAGGTGATCACCCCTGCGAGGTCGCCTCGTCGTTTTCTCTACTTTTTCTCACCGAGCGCGTTCTACTACTCGCAAAGTGCCTATTCGCAAACGTCCGAAAAACACATGTCTGCCTTGATGTAATTTATCGTAGATCCTCCGCGGGGGATCCAGGCCACTTGCGAGTAGTCACTTTGCGAGTAGTGGAACGCGCTCGTCGATTTTCTGCGCTTCGGGGGGTGGAGCGGTCACCTCTGCGAGGGCGCCCCCGCGCCCTCGACTCTGCGGCCGCATGCCCCTCGGCAGCCTGGGACGCCCGAGGGCCTGACGCGGACCCCCCCGGGCTTCGGGAGTCCCGGCGCCCGTGCACGCACGACGCTTTTTCCTCCCCCCCTCCGCGGGAGCATGAGCAGCAGGGAACAGCAGGGCCAGGATCAGGAGGAGGAGGAGGAGAAGGAGGAAGATGAGGAGGAGGAGGAGGAGGAGGAGGGCGAGGTCCCTGCCCTGCATACTCGACATCAGATTCGTCGGCAGGTTCGCGTCGTGCCGACCGGCGGCGACCCCAGCGCGCGCGTTTAAGGTTGAACGCCGCCCGTGGTCCAGAATCGGCCCGTCGTTGGACGATCGGGCGTCCACGGAACGACCGATCGTTCAAGTTTGAACGATCCCCGCTGTGTCAGGAACCAACGCTTGGGTCGGCACGACACGAGCTTGCCGTACGCGCGCGCGCGTTGTGGTCAAGGTCGCCGTGCGCTGCCGTGCGCCGTCCCCGCCGCTGCGCGTGCGCGCGCGCGCCTGCCCTCCGGCCCGCAGGCTCGCTGCGCCGCCCCCCGGCCGAGCGCCCCCTGGCCGCGGCCCCGAGCTGGGCCCCCCCCGCCGACGTCCGCCGCGCCTGCCCGGCGGCCCCTCCTCCGCCTCCTCCTCCTCTTCCGCCTCCTCCTCCTCCTCCTCCTCCTCCAGCCCTTTCGGCCCAGGCATTTTGTTTGGGATTGCCTGCGTGTACTTCGAAGGGCTCGCGCTGGCGAGCCACGCATGGCTCAGCGGCACCCGTCGTTGCCCTGCGGCAACTGCGCCAGGCTCTATGGCACTGCGTTCGCGAACTACGGGTTCAGGGCATCGTGTCCACGGTGCGGCAAGCAGGCGCTCAGGACGGTGAGAGAACGTAACGGCCAGGCTGGACACGCGCGTCAACCGCCGTGGACCAAGAGTACGAATACGTCATCTTGGCAGAGAGGGGCAGGAGGAAAGCCTGAGAGGCCCAGCCGGTGGGCAGCGGGGCCGCCGATGCTTGGGGATAGCAAGAAACCCGACCCCACCCTCAATGCCAAGAATAAGGAGGAAAGCGACAACACGAACGGCGTGGAGTATGACCCGAAGACTGCCAAGACCATGCTGGAGAGTATGGCCAAAGCACGCGGTGACGACAGGACCAAGTGGCCCGACGGCTGCAAGGACGTGGTCGTCTGTTTGGACAAGGCTGTGGAGTCCGAGGCCTAGTGCGAACAGCCAGTTCCCAATTACAACGTCCTGTCGGCGTTCCAGCTCGGGCAGCGGCTTCAGGATATCAGCATGAAGCTCGACAAGGCGCGGGAGCTTCTGCAGGAGCGGAATCTGGAACTGCACGAAAGTACACAAGCTTGGGATGTTGAGCGGCTTAATGTTGCCAGCCATGAGGAACGGAGGAATAATATCAAGGAGGCACAAGCTGAAGCATTCATGCGGGAAGCTGCTGAATTGCCTACTCCCGCGGGCAATCCTGCGGTGGCGTTGTGCGGCAAGCTTGCCAACATCCAGAATAAGATGGGAGGCGAGAGCATCCCCAGTTGTCTGGAGGAACCCTTCCGAGTGTTACAGCAAGCGCTTGAAGCCTTCGACCAGCACTTCAACGACAAAGCCGAAAAGACGCAAGGGAAGGAATGCGGGACAGTGCATAACGTGGCTTTTGATAGCGATCATGATCTTGGCGATGATATGCTGGGCCACGTTGATATTCCTGTACCCGACGAGGACGACTACGAGGAGATCTTCCTTCAGGCTGGGCTCAAGCTCGATGGTGTCGACGAGGAGGAGGAGCGTAAGCGGATCAAGGCTGCCAGGATACGATTGCTGGAGTCTTTCGCATGGCTGATGCCGCTGCTGCAGCCAAGCGGAGGAAGGTTCAGCCCCCAGATCCTGCTCAAGCTGAAACAGATGGCAAGCGAGTCGGCTGCGAATCTTGGATGTGAGGTCTGGGGGCAAGCGGAATGGAATGTTGTTTTGGCGAGGGGCCGCTTGCGCGAAGAAGTGGGGAAATTGCATGGTACTTTACGAAGTGGGTGGTAGGCAACTACCGCGCAGTATGGTGTCGCAGTGCAGGATGTTGTGATGGGTGGTGGCGATAGTGGTGGCAGCGCTGAACCCCTTCGCGCGGCTGCCGACGGGCATGTGGTTGATGCCCGTGCCAAGGGTAGTCCGCTCCATGGGGCGACTTACGGATGGGCTGCAGCCCCCGCGGAGGTGCGCAGAGGAGGCGCTGTCACCCATGAAGTTGATCATCAGGCAAGCAACATTGCTGAATCCCTGGTCAAGCTGCCCACGAGCAGGTGGTCGATGCCCTGGCACAGGGCACTCCGCTCCACGGGGCCACTGGCGAGTGGGCCGCAGCCCCCCAAGAGGTGCGCAGAGGAGGCACTGCTGCCTGCAGTAGTTCGACTACACCAGCTGGGGCCAGTCCATCTACGGAGGTGACTGACGCGCACGAGACGCAGGCCTAGCAGGACCATGACCAAGTCGGCGGAGGCCGCGGGGGAGCAGGGGCCCCAGGCTTGCGGCGAAGATGGGCTTCACCGAGGTTGGCTGGAGACTCGTGTGCGTCAGTCTCATGGAGGAGTTGGTTTGGGCAGCACTCGAAAGTGGAACTTTGTCGCTGCCAACATCGCAGCAGCGCAGAAGGAAGCAGCAAAGATGGCACTGGTTGGCAATGAGGTGCTGGAGATGTTCCCGAACACGGGAGGGATCCTACTCCAGGAGTGCAAGCTGCTGGGTGGGGTGGTGGGCGATGCTATGCTCCGGCTGCATCATCAAGGCTGGAACTGTCGTCTGCCGTCAGCCCGCAAAGGGGCGGGGCGATCTGCCAGCTCGGGTCCTGCAGTCGGCGCGCGAGAAGACATAGCCTCCACGGTGCCACCCGACCTTGCCCAGCAGGAGCACCGCGACCTCCCGTCGCATCAGCGCATACATGAAGACTGCGAGTACGCTTGTGGCACAGGAGACTTGCAGTGACGCGGCGCCGAGTGGCAGAGGTTAGCTGAGCAGGAGTTGGCTGACCGTTGCAAGCTGGGCGACCGTCCGCGCAAAGCTTGTCAAGGTCGAGGGGGGAAGCCATGGCCAGAGCTCAAGTCAATGGCGACTGTTCGCAACGCTCCAGGGCATGGTGAGGAAGGCAACGCTGCATCGCGGATATGGCGTCGAGCTCCAATGGCCATGGTCGGTCGCATGCGTGCGCTGAAGAGGAACCCGGACCAGGACTGCAAGCTCGTGGAAGACAGGTGTAACACCATGAGCAACCTGAGTGCCAAGAATGTCGACATGGGGCCGCAGTGAAACACCTGGTGTTACAGATGCAACTGCGAGATGTCGCAGCAAGAGGACAGGCTCAGAGATGCAGATTGGAGCGCCGCGATAGACGCGACCAAGATCGAACGAGATTTCGCCAGGAGTCGGGCGCGACAGTGGGGGGCGCTCGTCGCTGAGGCTGTTGAGAGCGGCGACAAGAAAGCACGCGGATGGTCGAAGCTACTTACATATTGGCAGCAGGCTGCTATCCACCCTCCGTCCGGGATTCAATCTCACGCTTCCAAGCTGAATCTGACCTGGAGGAGTGGACGAAGATATGGGGAGTGCGCTATGGGGAAGGGAGTTTTGGTGCTGGGCTACGCTTGCAGATATCTGTGGAAGAGGTGCAAATGCATGGTGCGGAGCATATCAGGAAAGTGGCCAGCAGTTTTTGCGTGGCACGGCTTCGGGGGTGGACAACCTTTGGCCGCGCTACATGTCGTTGTTGCCAGATGGCTCGCTCGAGGCTTCCATTAACATCATGAGGGTTGCGGAACCCACCGGTGAGCTGCCACCGCAGATGACCACCACCATCATGCCCGGGTTGCCCAAGCCAGAAGGTGGCCATCGAGTCATTGGTTTGCTCACAGGCACTGAGGGTTCACAGATGCCACAAGCGGGACCAGGACGAGTGGCTCGGGGTGCATGTCAAGAGTCATCACTATGCGATCGCAGGGAGGAGCTCTGAGCTGGCGGTTTGGACGCAGTCCGTCATGGCTGAAGGAAGCACGTTTAGCGCTCAAAAGACACACGGGCACGGTCATGCTGGATCTCGAGAGGGCTTTCCGAGAAGATATCGCATGCGAAGTTGCGGGCGGTCGGGCGCAGGCATGGTTTCAAGCAGTCGGGACTTGGTTTGCTCCTCGAGTCGCATGCGGGGAGAAGGGTGGTCAGACCTGGCAAGTTGGTTTCTGACTTCGCCATGACGAACACTGGCGTTATTGCTGGGTGTTCTATCGCCACGACGATGATGATGCGATTCGCGCTTAGAGCATGCGAGCAAATATATACCTGATGGTCGATTCCCAGCATTACGCAGATTGTTGATGATATTTGATGATGGCAGCCTCCAAGCAACTGGTTCTCACGAACAGGTCATGGGAACGATCGCCCCAGCTGCCAGACGGTTGCGCGCTGAGGTGGCATGTACCTCATGTTGGAGCTCAGTCCAAGCAAAAGACACGCGAATGTCGCGTCGCCCCAGCTTGAGGGAGAATTTGCCACTGCTCTCAAGGGGTACCAGTTCAGACGACGCAGGGCGGCACAGCTGCGCACGCAGTCAAGGTGAAAGGCATGACGGACGCACGGCTCAAGCAGGCAAGGGCCATTTCTGGACACGCGCCGCTTGGAATTTCCGGAGGGAGATGCCGTGCAATGAAGTTTCAGTTGTCACGCGGACCCCACATTTGTTGCGGATGAGTGCCCGCTGGCGAATTGGCTGCGGGCTCTATATGGGAAGTGGGCGCGGCGCAAAGCGAAGGTTCTGGCGTTCATGAACGGGCAGAACCAGATCCAGTCCTGGCATGGAGTTCAAGGGCCAGCAGGTGCTGTCATCATGACCTTGAACAGGCTGGGGTGGCGAGCAATTTCTTGGGATCGCTGGAACGCGGAGTGGCGCTGGCATTGCGCAGCTTGGGGCCATCTACGTTCAGGAAGACCATCAAGCAAGTTATCCAGTGGCGTCTGCTGGCCGAGATCCCCAGGAGTCGTGGCGTGGAGGGCCTCATGGGTCCACCCTTGTTGCAGCCCGCCAAAGACGTCATCGGTGCACTGAATCGGCGAGATGATTTCAGAGGTGCTGGGTTGGTGATGGCAAGGTTATCTGGCGTTTGTTTTTTCCTTCTTCTTCTTCTTCTGTCAGGTGCGGCTTTTCAAAAGCCAGGGCAGTGGAGGGCCCTATCAGTGTGATTAGTGGAGTTGGAGACGGCACGGACTCTCATCGGATTTTCAGGCGCGACTGGCACGCAGCGAAAAGGCAGAGCTGGGCGGCAGAGGAGCCAATGCTGTTGTTGTGAGGGAGAGACGTGAGCACGGACAGGAGCATCCCATCACCATGGTCACGTGCAGGTGGCTCATGCCCGATCGCACCTTCGACTCGCCCCTGCCGACACAGGTGGCCTCATCAACTGGCATGTGTGCACAGGCAGTGGTCTTATCACAGGAGTGGTGTTTACCGACGGGAGCTGCGCATACCCTCACTGTGAAGTTCGGGCACGTCCTGGCGGGCCTTTCGTGATGATAAATGAAGTGGGTGATGCAGTTGCGGCTGCGTCGGGACACGTGCCATACCCGTGGCAGTCCTCAG